CATGCAACATAATTAGATATAACTATGCTATGTGAATATGACTAAAGAAATGAAAATGAAAACAGTATCTTGTGCTCTGTAACGATTGTTATTAAATATATCATAGAAATGAGAAGAATAGGCTCAGGAGCTGAACTGCCTAGTTCAAATGGCCAGATTTACTACTTCTTGTTCCGTGATTGAATTTGTTGTGCTCCTGTTTCCTTAGTTGTAAAATAGAGATAACAATAGGACGTGCCCATAAGCTTTTCATGAGGATTAAATGAGTTAATGTGTTTGGTGGGGACCAGGTGGACATGGTACTGGTAGGGCCCTATTTGACATTGGCTTTAAGTATCATTGGCTTTAAGTGCATCAGCAGATACATGATGACAATAATTGTATTATGGTGATATGGATTTCTTATAAATATTTGTATTATGTTAGTCACTTCTAGAAAAGAATACAGCTATACAGTAGAATGTAATTAAAAAACTAATGTCATAGTTTTGTAAAGAAATTATTTTGTAAAACTTTTCAGTCTTCAAAGAGTTTCATAGACTTTATTCCATTTATATTGAGAGCCTACTTTGTGTTAAGCATTTTGCTGAACATTGTCTTCTCTCTTATGTTACTTACCATCTGTTGGGAAGACAAAGAAGTAAACAAATAATTACATGTAGAGTAGTAGTGTCAATGATAGAGGCATGAACGCAACACAGATTTAACACTAGAGAGAGAGTGATCCCAAAATAAATGATGTTTCAGTTGAGTTTTAAATGGCAGCTGGAGTTCATCTGAATGATTAGGTATCTAGGACAAGTTTAAAGGTTAGGGAGTAAGGAAGATAATATTCAAAATAAAAAGGACCTAAGGATATTCACAGCGGATATTTGCAGAGGCCTGAAATAGCATTGGTACATTCCTAGAACCATAAGTAGTTTGATGGTAAAGTAAATTACAGTACATTTTGAATAATCATGGAAGATATATACCACGATAAGAAACTTCAACTTTAAAGTTGATGAGAAGCATTTGACAGATTTTAAGCAAGAAGCAAATAATTAAATTTATATGTTAGAAAGAATTCTAGATACATAAAAAGCACTTATTATAATCCAATATCCATTCATGATAAAAACTCTCAGCTAATTGGAAATAAAAGGGAACTTCCTTAATCTAAGGAAGAACAGCTACGTAAATTCTGTAACCAACCACATACTTAATGGTGAAATAATGAATGTTTTTCTCCTAAGATCAGGAACAAGACAAAGATGTCTCCTCTTACTTCTATTCAAGATGGTACTGGTAGTTCAAGCCAGTATAGCTATGCAAGTAAAAGAAGAAAAACTCATTCAGTTTAGAAAGAAAGAAGTAAATCTGTTTTTATTCACAGATGACATTACTTTTTATTTAAATAAAATCCCAAGGAAGCTATAAAAAGCTACTAGAACTAATAAGTGAGGTTAGAAAGATTGCAGGGCACAAGATTAATATACAAAAATATGGTGTATTTCTACACATTGGCAAGAGAAAATCAGAAATTAAAACTTCAAAAGCAATACTACTTACAATACCATCAAAACTATTCAATACTTAGGGGCAAATTTAACAAAAAGTTTAAAGACCAGTATGCTGAACACTGTAAAACATTGGTGAGAAAAATTAAAGAAGGCTTAAATGTAGAGATATGTCATTTTTATGAAACAGAAGACTCAGTATTGCTAATATGTTAGTTCTCTCAGTTTTATTTATACATGAAACGCAGTCCCAGTCAAAATTTCAGGAGGCTTTTGGGAGAGAAATACATAGGCTAATTCTAAAAGTCATATGGAAATGCAGAGGACTTAGAATATCCAAAACAATTTTGAAGAAGAAAAGTGTTGGAAATCTTACACTACCTGGGACATTTTCTAACACTAACAACCAATTTTCTGATTCTCTGGATGCCAACTGTGTGTCCAATGATTGGATTCTGTTCTGACACTACAACAGTTTTCCCTTATTTGCAGTTTTGCTTTTGCAGTTTCAGTTAGCCACAGTGAGCTGAATTCTAAAAGTATTAAATGGAAGATTACAGAAATAAACAATTTGTAAATTTAAAATTGCAAGTCATTCTGAGTAGCACGATGAAATCTCGCACTGTCCTGCTCCATCCTGCCTGGGACATGAGTCATCCTTTTGTCCAGCACATCTATGCCATATGAGCTACCCATTCTTTAGTCACTTAGTAGTCGTCTCAGTTATCAGATTGATTGTGGCAGTATCACAGTGCTTATGTTTAACTAAACTTTATTTTACTTAATGGCCCCAAAGTATCAGCGTAGTGATGCTGGCAATTCAGATATGTCAAAGAAAAGCTGTAAAGTACTTACTTTAAGTGAGAAGGTGAAAGTTCTCAACTTAAAGGAAAGAAAAATATCATACACTGAAGTTGCTAAGATCTATGGTAAGGACAAATCATCCATCTGTGAAGTTGTAAAGAAGGAAAAATAAATTCCTGGCTGGGTGTGGTGGCTCACTCCTGTAATCCCAGCACTTTGGGAGGCCGAGGCAGATGGATAACTTGAGGTCGGGAGTTCGAGACCAGCCTGGCCAATATGGTGAAACCCTGTCTCTACTAAAAATACAAAACAGCCAGGCATGGTGGTGCACGCCTGTAATCCCAGCTACTTGGAAGGCTGAGGCTGGCCAATCACTTGAACCGGGGAGGCAGAGGTTGCAGTGAGCTGAGATCACACCACTGCACTCCAGCCTGGGCAACAGAACAAGACTCAGAGATTCCATCTCCAAAAAAAAGAGAAAAAGAAATTCCTGTTAATTTTGCTGTTGCACCTCAAACTGCAGAAGTTATGGACACAGTGTGTAATAGTGCTTAGTTAAGATGAAAAAGACATTAAATTTCTGGGTGGAAGACATGAACAGAAAACATGTTCCAAATAACGGCCACATGTTGCTCCAGAAGGCACTAAGTCTATATGAAGACCTCAGCAAGGGATTTTCTGAAATAAGTGACACTAAGTAAGGGATGGTCACACAGATTCAGAAACAGGTTTGGACTGAAAAATATAAAAATTAAGGAGAGACCAAGTCTGCCAATAAAGAAGCTGCTGCCATTTGAGTACAGTACAATAAGATAGGAGAGAGAGACCACATTCACATAACTTATAGTATATCATTATAATTATTCCGTTGTTATTATCTTATTGTGCCTAATTTATATGTTAAACTTTATCATAGGTATGTATGTATAGGAAAAAAAAAACATAGTATATATAGAGTTCAGTACTGTCCATGGTTTCAGGCATCCACGGAGGTCTTGGAACATATTCCTCCTAGATAAGGAGGGACTACTGTATCTATCTGGAATTAGCATCAGCTCCCAGAAGATAAAGGGTTCAGTCGCATAAGACTGCCCCTGCTTCATGTGCCAGTCACAAGTCCCAGGCTACCCATACTTCTGACTAATTGGCTATAAAATCAGAGGTTCTCACCTTACCATTAACTAAGTTGGGGAACATAGGAGTGTGATAATTTGCATTTTTGGTCCCAATTTTTCATCCTTTAGTCTATCCGTACCCTTTGCCATATATTATAATGCTTTCCCATAATGGATGGACACACTTCCACCCCTTGACTCTGGGTTTGATTATGTGACTAGCTGAGGTGTTATCAGATATGACTCAAACAAAAGCTTTAAAAAACTCTTCCATAACTGAATTTCACTCTTCTGCATCTACTATTATCATGACATGCCTGGGTTGGCCCATTGGAGGAGAAGATACATATAAAGCAAAGCCAAGACACCCCTGTCAGCCCAGTTAAAGCCAATTTAAATCATCTTACAATCAGCCAATCCCCAGACACTTGGGCAGATTCAACCAAGATCAGCAGAACCACCTAGCCAACCCTTGCTTCTCCCAGGCTTATGAACTACCTAGACAACCTCAGCTGCTCCTAGTCATGTCAGCAGTATATACTTATGTATTATTGTATGCTACTGAGGTTTTGTAGTTCTGGCAACAGATAATTGATACAAGGAGTAATTGGCTGTGTTGTAGAAAGGATTCATTCAATTTTTGGATATGGTGAATTTGAGGTGGCCAGTGGCGGCTGGGTGTAGAACTCAGCAGCCACTTACATTCTGTGAATCATCAGCAGATATGTAGCTGAATATGTAAATTTGGATGAAATTACCCAAGGAGCATATATAGAGAGTGAGAAGAGGAAATTATGATGAAGACCTATATTTGAAGGAACTGTTGAGATTGAGAAGGAATTCTCAGAAATTTCTAAGGAGAACCGGAAAAGACTGGTGGTGTGAAAACTAGGCTTTAAAAAGAAGGCAGCAGTTAGGAATGCAAAATGCCCCAGGGAGGCAAAGTAAATATCTTTATACTCATTTTACAAATGGAGAAAAATGTAGTTTGAATGGGGTAACAAAGTTTGTTATGCATGATCATACAAACTAGTAAATAGCAATAAGGGTGTTAGAACCTAGATCTTTTGATTGTTAACTCAGGGCTTTATCATTTTTTATCATATTGTCTTTCCTGAGTGTGTACTTCTGATGCCTGTAAATAAATTAGTAAAATTATTATAAAGTATCTTACATATATAAAATGTCAAGATAAAACATGAGATTTTAATATTTAGAATTAGATGAACATTAAAAAATATGTAACTGAGATTCCTTCTGAAATTATAAAATAGTGTTTATTGCATGTTTCCTTTTATTCATCGATTTTTAATATCTGATAAATATATTTTTATGAGTGATTTTTCCTATATTCATATGGATTAAAACATTGATTTTCCTCTCATGTTTAAAATTTTGAATAAATAATGATAATGTTAAAATATATTACAGAATGAACTTCATGAGCTTGAAAAACAAATAGCAGCTATCTCTGCAGAAACTAAAGGAACAGAAAGACAAATTTATCAACAAGATGCTGCCATACAGAATACCAAACTTCACTGTGATAGCCTGGAAACTCAAATCAAATCCTTACATTCAGAAAATGTAAAGCTTAAATTTGACATAGAAACAGCCCAAGAAGATTTCGAGGAACACATGATAAAATATAATGCATATTATGCAAAAATAAAAGCACATAAAAATAGTTTGGGAGAAGTAGAAAGCAAATGGTCATTTATGACCGAACTCCATGAAAAACGAGATTTTGTTAAAAAATTAAAGATGATGAAAGAAGAACTTATGCAAGATCTTCAAAATCCAGGAGGGAACCGAATAACACAAGTACAGGTGTGGAAAATTACTTAGTAAAACTATTTTTTCTATAACTCCTTTTTTGCAAGTACATACATTAAATGGTAAATTTATTGTGAAGTTAATAAAATGCCCATAGCTGTTCTATTACATTCAGAAACTATTGTCACAATTGAAAAAAACTTGGAATAAGTACATGTGTTATATAACAACTACCTTAGATGCTCAAATGCGTAAAGGAAACATCCACAAATCCCCTGGATTTATAAAAATACATGGTCAAATAAAATCACAGTGAAGAATTAATCTATAATCCATTGTCCATTGTTGTAGAAAATGTAATTCACAAAAATGTTGAAGCCTTAGCTTCTATGCCAATGGATCCAGACCAATTCAAATCAGTTTAGTACACTTAACGCTGTTATGCAAGCAATCTAAATTAACAATTGAACCTTAAGCATCTTACTATTTCTCTGTTATTTAAAGACGATAGAAGACACCAACTTAAAATATTGATCATTTCTTGCTAGAGAATTAAAAAGTGTCTTTTACACTGTTGTTGGGCAATTGCCACCATAAGTACCACTTTCCTTTTTGTCTTATTTCATTTGGTTTTTAGTTCTGTTTCAAATGTAAGGTTTCTTTACATTTTCTTTAAGTAACAGTTCTTTATTTTTGTATACCTATAGAAGTAATATTCTAATGCTATTTATCAAAGCTAAATTTTGATTTGGCTAGTTTTCTTAAATTAGAGAAACACTGAAATATTGGATTTATATTGATCATCCTTTTTTGACTTCTATATTTCAAATGTTGTCAACATACAGGAAGACATTACAAAGTTAAAGGATAAAATTTTAACTGTAAAAGAATCTATCATTGAGAAAACTTGTTTTCTTGAGGAAGAAAAAAAGACACATGAAAAATTAAGAAAAGAAATAGAGGTAAGTCTTAATTATCTAGATTTCAATGTTTTATGGGACCATTTTTTAAACTTACACTATATTCATATTTCCATAATTTACTCTCAATACTCAAAACAGCTGAAGAATAAGAACTATAAAATTTAGTAAATACAAATCATCAATAGATAACTAGAGATAACGCCCTCATTCAAAGATGTTCAAATATGTGAATGTGTTCAAACAATGCAAGCATTCACTCCTGTTCAAATCTGGGCCAGGGTTCTTCCAGGTTGTTCTCATTCCACTAAGAACATGATACCCAATTAATGGCTAGAAAGCAGCTGTGTAGTCAAAGAGGCTGCCCATTCTTAGACATCAAAGACTCCTCAAAATAGAATAAAACACAATGGAAAGAATTGTCTTTCCAAACCTCTCTGACTTCCTATTCGCGGTTATCAAGAGTCAAGTTAAAAAAAAACAAACTGAAAATATGCAAAATTGAAAGAGTAAATTAAATTCTTAATGTGTGGTGGTGCCGCCTGTGGACTTCTATAGTCATTATTGTTTAGATGAATGGTGAACAGAAATGTAAAATAATATGCTATTAAGGGCAAATAATTTTCACCTGAATACATTAATTTGGAAAATAAAAGTATGCATGATTCAACTTGCTTTTGACTAATTTGACACAATACAAAGCATCTGAGGAAATTAAAGATAAAAACCCTCATCTTTACATATTTGCTATTAAAAAATATCATGATTTTACCTTATAGTTTACTAGGAATCTAAACAAATAATAATTTTTTTTTTGCCCTTGTAGACATTAAGGTTCATTATAAAGCAATAAATAGTAAGACAGTGTATTAGTGGTATAAAAGTAGAAAAAAATCTTATTATTATTATTTTTTTCTTTATTTTTGAGAAGGGATCTTGCTCTGTTGCCCAGACTGGAGTATGGTGGTGTGATCTCAGCTCACTGCAGCCTCAGCCTCCCAGGTTCCAGCCTTTCTCCTGTCTTAGCCTCCCAGGTAACTGGGATTACAGGCACGTACCACCACACCTGGCTAATTTCTGTATTTTTAGTAGAGATGGGGTTTCACCATGTTGACCAGGCTGGTCCCAAACTCCTGACCTCAGGTGATCCGCCTGCCTCAGTCTCCCAAAGTGCTGATTTTACAGGTGTGAGCCACCACGCCCAGCCAGAAAAAAAATTATTAATGAAAAAAAGAATCCAGAAATTATGCATGCATGAATGGTAAAAACAAAATAGATTACCTTTATGGAAAAATAAAGAAAAATGTTGAAATAAAACTGGATTTCTACCTGATAATACACACATGAGCATGCACACACACACACACATACACACTTCTGAGTATTGAGTACAACATAGGAGAAAAACTTAACAATTTGTGTCAGAAAAGCATTTATTTTAAAAGAGAAAAACACTCCATAAATTCTGTGGTTAAATATCTTTAGTTTTGACTATGCCGTAAATTTTCAGATTATGGGAATACACCATAACAAGAGAAAGAACAAGACTCTATTCTAGATTATTATAACACATGTATGTGATAAGAAAGAGATAAGAAAATGTCAAATCAGTGAAACATTGGGCAAATGGTTTAAAAAGACCATTTTTCTAAAACATGAATATCAGAAATAAAGAAAAATATGACCATCCTCATTAACAATAAGAGACTGGTAATTAAAACCACAGTGAAGTTCCATGTTTAGCCCATCTGATTATCAGTATTACAGTTGGTAAGATGTTGAGCATGGGAATTTTAATACAGTATTCTTGTGAGTGTGAATTGCTAAAAGCACTTTGGAAAGAAATGTGAAATTACCTTGTAATTTTTTTACAGTAACATATTTTATTGAGGTATAATTGTCATAAGAGTAAATACACAAATTATAAATGGATAGCTTGATTTATTTGGACTAATATGTACATATATTTATGTTGGTATTACCTAGATCAAGATATAGAACTTTCCCAGCATGTCCAGAAAGTTCTCTTCTACCCTTTTTATCAAACAGCCACTATTCTGATTTTTATAAACAGCTTCACTAAAATTCACATACCATACAGTTCACCAATTTTTGTCAGATATCCTGCAACAAAGTTTTAGAAATGAAAACAAATTATTCAGAGATTTTTTTTATTATTATTTAACTTTTTTTTTGAGACGGAGTCTCACTTCATCACCCTGGCTGGAGTGCAGTGGTGTGATCTCCGCTCACTGCAAGCTCTGCCTTCTGGATTCATGCCATTCCCCTGCCTCAGCCTCCCGAGTAGCTGGGACTACAGGCACCCACCACCACACCCCGCTAATGTTTTGTATTTTTAGTAGAGATGAGGTTTCACCATGTTAGCCAGGATGGTCTCGATCTCCTGACCTCGTGATCTGCCCACCTCGGCCTCCCAAAGTGCTGGGATTACAGGCATGAGCCACCGTGCCCGGCCTTAATTTAACTTTTAAGTTCAGAGGTACATGTGCAAGTTTGTTATATAGGTAAATTTCTGTCATAGTTTGTTGTACAGATTATTTCAATACCCAGGTATTAAGCCTAGTACCCATTAGTTATTTTTCCTGATCCTTTCCCTCCTCTCACCCTCCTGTGTATGTTATTTCTGATAGGCTCCAGTGTGTGTTTCCCTCTATGTGTCCATGTGTTCTCATCATTTAGCTCCCACTTATAAGTGAGAACATCCAGTATTTGGTTTTCTGTTCCTGTATTAATTCACTTAGGATAGTGGCCTCCAGCTCCATTCATGTTCCTGCAAAGGACGTAATCTCATTCCTTTTTATGGCTGCATAGTATTTCATGGTGTATATGTACCACATTTTCTTTATCCAGACTACCATTGATGGGCATTTAGGTTGATTCCATGTCTTTGCTATTGTGAATATTGCTGCAATGCACTTACACATGTATGTGTCTTTTTGATAGAATGATTTATATTCCTTTGGGTATATAATCAGTAATGGGATTGCTGGGTTGAATGTTATTCTGTTTTTAAGTCTGAGGAATTGCCATACTGTCTTCCACAATAGTTGAACTAATTTACACTCCCACCAACAGTGTATTAGTGTTCTTTTTCTCTGCAACCTTGTTAGCATGGGTTTTTTGTTGTTGTTGTTGTTGTTGTTTTACTATTTGATAATAGTGATGATGGTATCTCATTGTGGTTTTGATTTACATTTCCCTAATGATTCATGATGCTGAACATTTTTTTATATGATTGTTGTCCACATGTATGTCTTCTTTTGAAAAGCATCTGTTTATTTCCTTTGCCCACTTTTTAATGGGGTTGTTTGATTTTTTCTCGTAAATTTGTTTAAGCTTCTTATAAATGCTGGATATTAGACCTTTGTCAGATGTATAGTTTGCAAAAATTTTCTCTCATTGTGTAGGTTTTCTGTTTACTCTGTTGATCGTTTATTTTGGTATGCAGAAGCTCTTTAGTTTAATTAGATCCCATTTGTCAACTTTTGCTTTTGTTGCAATTGCTTTTGGCATCTTCATCATGAAATATTTGCCCATTCCTATGTCCAGAATGGTATTGCCTAGGTTGTCTTCTAGGATTTTTTATAGTTTGGGTTTCATATTTAAGTCTTTAACCCATCTTGAGTTAATTTTTGTGTATGGTGTAAGGGAGGGGTACAGCTTCAATCTTCTGCACATGGCTAACCAGTAATCCCAGCACCATTTGTTGAATAGGGAGTCTTCCTCAGTGCTTGTTTTTGTCAGCTTTGTCAAAGATCAGATAGTAGTAGATGCATGGTCTTATTTCTGGGTTATCTATTCTGTTCCATTGGTCTATGTGTCTGTTTTTGTACCAGTACCATGCTGTTTTGGTTACTGTAGTCCTGTATTATAGTTTGAAGTCAGGTAGCATGATGCCTCCAGCTTTGTTCTTTTGGCTTAGAATTGCCTTGGCTATTTGGACTCCCTTTTGGTTCCATAGGAATTTAAAAATAGTTTTTTCTAGCCATGTGAAGAATGTCATTGGTAGTTTAATAGGAATAGCATCAAATCTATACATTGCTTTGGATAGTATGGCCATTTTAATGATATTGATTCTTCCTACCCATGAGCATGGAATGTTTTTCCATTTGTTTGTCATCTCTGATTTATTTGAGGAGTATTTTATAGTTCTACTTGTAAAGATCTTTTACCTCCCTCGTTAGCTGTATTCCTAGGGGTGTGTGTGTGAGGGGCAATTGTGAATGGGATTTGGCTCTCAGCTTGATTGGTGTTATATAGAAGTGCTAGTGATTTTTGCATATTGATTTTGTATCCTGAGACTTTGCTGAAGTTGTTTATCAGCTTAAGAAGCTTTGGGCCAGGACTGTTGGGTTTTCTAGATATAGCATCATGTCGTCTGCAAACAGGGCTAGTTTGACTTCCTCTCTTCTTGTTTGTATATGTTTTATTTCTTTCTCTTGCCTGATTGCTCTGGCCAGGACTTCGAATACTATGTCAAGTAAGAGTAGTGAGAGAGGGGATCCTTGTCTTTTGCTGGTTTTCAAGAGGAATGCCTCTGGGTTTTGCCCATGGAGTATGATGTTGGCTGTGGATTTGTCATAGATGGCTCTTATTATTTTCAGGTATGTTCCTTCAATACTCAGTTTATTGAGAGTTTTTAACATGAATGGTTGTTAAATTGTATTGACAGCCTTTTCTGCATCTATTGAGATAATTCATGTTGTGTTTGTCTTCAGTTCTGTTTATATGATGAATCATATTTATTGATTTGCATATATTGAACCAAACTTGCATCCCAGGTATAACGCCTACTTGATGGTGATGGACAAGCTTTTTGATGTGCTTCTGGATTCAGTTTGACAGTATTTTGTTGAGGATTTTTGCATCAATGTTCATCAAGGATGTTGGCCTGAAGTTTCCGTTTTGTTATGATTCTTTCAGGTTTTGGTATCAGGATGATTTTCGCCTCATAGAATGAGTTAGGGAGGAGTCCCTCCTCCTTAATTTTTGGGAATAGTTTTGGCAGGAATAGTACCAGC